CAGTGATGGAGGGATATGAAGAATAGCAAAGTAACAAAGCACAGGCACATATACTGAACCTACCTTATCGTTATAGTAAGAATCTGATTAGAAGTAGTGGACTAAAAAGTACAGCATGAAAGCATCCAAATAGCAGAGGGGTTTGTAAACTCATGAATAAGTTTGTCAGATAACTCTCTGCTGTGTTGCATTTTTAGCTGTATCCTTGTAAGTTCCAGAACAGTGGCCTTTGCATATTCCACAACTATGTTCTGAACATATTTATCAGACATATGCCATTCAGTGGTGGTTGTTAAATGCTCTATCCGTAAACCATTATGCTCTCCTATATTGAAGTTTCACTGCAACAGGCAGCTGTTTGACAGCGAATAAACTCCTGGGGACAGCAGCAAATCAAATTAAATATATCTCTACAGAGCTATCATAGGGGGTTGCGTGGCTTGATAGGCTGCATCAAGAGCAATAAGTACACAAAGGAAGAGCAAACCTGAGATAAATCAAGATAGACCAAATGAGCAAGCAGTCAGACAAATCATTATAGGCTCCCTGAAAGTCATTAGGAGTTCTACCATTCATTTCAATAGGAGCTGTATTTCAGCTGTCTGTCTGCACAGGAAGTTTTTAATCCTGTAAGAGTCAGAGAGATCATCTAATTGCTGTCCTCTTCCCACTCACTTTTATAAGCTTGGCTGTGGGAAACGATACTGCTAATAAATAAGCGTGCTGAGAAAAATACTTGTGCAACAACACAAATAATGAAGATTTGGTTCACTTTCTTTTGTGGCATTTGTTTTCCTCATATAAACTTTTAAACGACTTAAGAGTTTAATAGTGGCACTTCAGGAAGCACACAGTGCTTACATTCTTCAATATATCAAACCTTTCTTCAACATATTTTCTACCCCAAACCTCAATACTCCCTTTCTCAAACACTCCTTTCAACTTGGCCATACTCAAATCCTCAGTGTCATTTCCTTCTGAAAAAGTAATGATAAGTCCATGTATTAGTTAGAACGACCTTGTTCTGCTTTAGCAGCACGCAAACCTACATTATTCATTCTGTTGTTAACGCTCCTTCTCACCTAACAGTTCACAGGTTCCTGATTAAACAGTGTAACCATGGCCTACCACAATAGCCTGTTTTATTTTTATACTGTTTTTCTGAGTAACCTTATCTTAATCGGGTTCGTAACGAAATCCATGGAGAAATACAGCTGTGCTGCTCCTACTCACAAAGTAATTTCTCATACTCAAATGCTACCTTTGTTTTTCATGACTGCTTTGTCAAGCATCTCTCTACAGGCTGCCTGGAAAAAGGTAGGAGAGGAACAGTGGCCAACTGTTCATTGGTAACAACTTCTGAGCAAGAAAGGGCTCTGTAGCAGCTGTCCTGCTTCCCCCACAGCAGGGCTAACACCCAGTGACACGCAGCCCATGATGAAGTCTATCACTGTCATATTAAAAATAGGCTTTATATTATATATAAATATATTTATATGAAGCATGGAGCTTCAGATATTCAATATGGGGTTAAAGACCTCTAGTGTAATACGTATTTTGGACACAGAGCTATTTGAACTTTGGTTAGAACTCAAAAGGTGTTTGTTCCAATTAAAAGTTTATGCTTTTGCTGAAGCTGATCTCTTAACATGATTTTCAATTCTTTTTCTCTAGAGAAAATAATACTAAAATTGAATAACTGTTCCAGGGAAGTTTCCTCATCAAGAGGCTGAAGAATCAAACTACCATTATCTTAGTCCATTTCTTCTACTAAACCTTTGTACTTATTCCCACAGAAACCACAGGAGATGTGTTTTGTAGGTTGTGAAAGTCTAATCTAAAGTAAAAGCCTACAGTGAAATATAGAGAAAGGTTGTCTGATGCAAGAAGCACTTATCGCTTTCTTCTAACAGGGCTATGTGATAGCTCAGCATGTGCAAATAATCTGAATATCTGCAGCTAGGGCATTATTTGGTCTCTCATTACCTCTCCAGGACACAGTAGAACACAATTCCTGTGGAACTCCATACAAGTTGTACCATAGACACCTCTGTCAGGTGAGAAGAAAAATTGTGTAAGTTGATCATAAAACAAGCATAAGTGACAAAGTAACATCATTTCTATTGATTTGCTTTCAAAAGTGGGATGCAGCTGTGAAACTGTGATGCTTTTATTCGCTGCACCTAGCATCATATCAGCTGTCACGGCTTATTGAGGATGTGAGCTACCTAACCCAGGCACTGCATTCCTTTCTAGACACACAGAAACAGAAAGCACAGCATTAACACACAGAGCAAGGTGGGCATCCAGGCTGAGGAATGGGGCAGCTGGCAAACACACTGACAGAACTGGTGTTCTTAACCAGGCAGTCACACACACCATTGGTGTGGTGGGGCTCCCAGTAAGTGCTGCAGACAGGCATGTTTCTTTGAGGCATGAACAACACTGCATCTTGTAAGTATTTCATATCATTATTACTTTTCCCTATAGATTGCGTAGGGGCAGCCAAGAAAATAAGCGATGGTAGAACATGAAGCAGGCCCAGATTCCCATGTCAGCATTCTTCCTACCTATGCTTTTAAGGGCTTAAAGAAACTGATCGAAAGTCAAGTCCTACAGGCAGCACCACGTAACAATCCAGATAGCACATGTTTTGTGCTGCTGTTTTCAGCGTTACACTGTGACCCACAGTGACATCCATTTCAGCAGTACTGGTTAAAAACCTGCACTCAAAACCACTGCCTCCTGCCCTGTGCTGAAAATTGCACGCCACCCTGTTCCAATGGGAGAATACAGTTAGCACTGGGAGAGCAGCTGAAAAGGCAGTGTAAGGCACTAGTAGAAAGCTGCAACATTATCAAAACTTTTCTCCTTTTTAAATGTCTCAATTCAGAACTAAGCAATGGAAGAAGAGACACTTTTTAAGCTACTGCCCTTTTATTTATGCCATTTTCCCCCCTCTCCTAAGACGCACCTTTGCGTGTTATGTGACAGCCATCAATACCATTGCTCACAGCCTAAACACCTTTGATACCAATTAGAAAAAAAAAATAAAAATAGAGAAATCAGGAAAAGGCAAATGTATTTGTTAGCTTTTTATCTAAAGAGCAATTTACAGAAGGGAAAATTTACCAATGATTTCAGCCTTGACACTTCAAAGTGAAACTCTGTGCAGTGTAACATCTCTAATTTGTCTTAAAATATACTGAAATACATAACTGTAGCACCAGGAAGTATGACTTCAGGGACTGTGGTATTTCAGTTCCTAAAAGGACAGGCAGTTACCTCACCATTATGAGCATGCTTTTAAAAACTGGAGCAACACTTCTTGCACGTTGTGGGGGGTGAAGGAAGAAATTGGCCTTCTCTTGGCTTCCTGAGCTGTGAAGGCTCACTCTGTACAATCAAATCCTTCCCTAATGACATGCTTATTATCTTAAGAAGTAGTACAGATGGTGTGTATTTTTTCTCTCTTCAGCATTGTTCGTGCTAAAATCACTTTAGAAGCTGGAAAATGCAAGCACTGTTAGACACTCAAGAGCCAATGACCAATGAAAGAAAACTAATAGCAATTAACAGCTGGTGGCTTTTATGAGCAGGCGCTGTCCCACCTTCATCCTCAACCGATTTTTTTGCATTTGAAGCTGTACTACAAACTCAATACAGAAGTCACGGTAGGACTTCGGCCTCCCATTGCTAGCTTATCAATGTAACAGATGAAGTGACCTCAGAAAGCAAAACGCAACCAATAACCAAATCCATACACACGGCTGAGAAGGAAATAACTCTGCAGGTGCTACGGCTCTGATAGAGAACAGATGTCATATAACAAATGTGCCCATCCGTAATGGCACCTGTAAGATGCCAGTAATCGTTACCTATAACCTGCTGCTCGGCCCCACATCTCCAGCAACTTAGAACAGTTCCTGACTAAACCCAGCTGACTGCTAAAGCATGAAGCTGACCAGTAAGCCAGAGAAATGTGGCATATGCATAAGGTAAGGTAGAGATTCTCATGCATTTAAGGCATCAAGAGGAAAAAAAAAAAACCTCATCAACTTCTAAGTCCAAACATTAAGACTACAGGATTATGTTCTGTCTCCATCAGTAGATGGTAGATGCACATTTAATTACTCTCATAGCTCCTGCTTCAAAATTTTTTTAAAATAAACCTTTCAAAGTTACCAGAACTCTTTCATTTGAACTGTTTTACTCACATTTGAAGAACTTATAGCACAGAAAGAGGATTCTCTTTCTCCATTCCTCCCAGCCATTAAAACATGTACAAGATTACCTTGTACATGTTTTACAAGCAGCTAAGTTTCACTTTGAAATTAATCAGCAACATGTCCATTCCACATAGAAAATGTGAGTAGTTTGTTGAGTCTTCTGGTCTGATATTCTAAGCTGCAGATATCCACCTTTCAATCAGAAGTGCTTGAAAAACCATTATCCACAAATATAAATACACTGTAAATATATATACACACACTGTACTCCCACATGTTCATCTTCCAGGTCTAACACGTCCATGCCGAACTTCAGACAGAACTTTCAGAATCATAGACTTTAAAAGCTTCCACATAAAGACTACACACACGTGGTTGTGTGGACTACTTACAGTAAGTATTGATCCAAAAGCAAAATAAGATGATGTCTCTGAAGTTATTTCCTCAGGCTGGCCAGGATGGTGCTGCTTTTTCAAAGTCTCTCAGTAAAAGTTTCCGATACTTCAAGCCTTTAATCCATGGCCCTGAGTCCTCCAGCTCTGAAAACAACAATGAAGGAAACCTTGCACAGGACAGCTGATGATCAGCTGTTGTATTAAAATATCTTTGTTCTGATGGAACAAAAGGCACGGTGTGATCAGACAGAAAGAAAATTGGGAATTAGAGAACAGCATCAACCTCTGCTATGATGATGGTCTTACTTCTCTGGTGATACTGCTATGAAGAAAGGCTGCCAAAGGAAGCAGGGGACGCACTGAAAAACACTAGACATGATTTAATGAGAAAGTTTATTTTATTGGTTTACAAATCACACCTACCTCTTCATTAAAACATGTCTTTATCAGCTCTTCTACTTCAACACTTCCTTCTTGCTCATTATACTTCAGCAGAAAAAAGTGCAGTTATAACACTATGTACCTGCTTCCCTGAGAAGCCCTGATTTGCAAGAACATTTATGCAAGGCTTTTCAGTGCTCCAACAAAGCAAAGATTCAGTGTGAATTTTAGTGGTTTTACATTAAATTGTCTGAGGGAGAAAAAGACAAAGTCATTACTGACATAAAATTGTACACCAGTGTTTTGCTAATATACTTGACCAAAAAATTCACCTTCATGCAGTACTTCTTTGCAGGTTCTTCAGTACTAATCTACCTATAGGGGCAGTGTGACAGAGAAGCGCAGCACCGTCTAAAGGCACAGAAGACACACAGTTTATCACTGTGGTTTAACCCCAAAGGCAGCTCAGGACCACACAGTTGCTTGCCCACTCTCCCCACATGGAATGAGGGAAGGAAATAAAAAAGGTAAAGGCACAAGAACTGGTGGGTTCTCACTGTGTGTGCAAGGAAAGCAAAACAATGATTTACTTTGCTACATTCCATTGGTAGGCAGACAGTGCAGCGACTGCCAGGGAAGCAGGGCAAATTCTAGGGCCAACACTGCCAGCATCCCCTCTTCCTCCTGCTTTACAACAAGCTTTTATCACTGGGTGCACACCATACAATATGCAATATTCCTTTGGCCAGTTTGGGTCAGCTGTTCTTTTCCAGCTTCCTGCACATCTGCAGCCTGCTTGCTGGCGGGGCAGCACGAGAAGCTGGAATGTTCTTGGCTCCATGCAAGCACTGCTCAGCAGCAACTACAATCACAGTCTTATTGACATTATTGTACCAAAAATCCAACACACACCATTATATAAGCTTCTATGAAGAAAATTAACTCTACCCCAGCCAAAACCATGACATTTATACATGTTTATTACCAACAGAATAATAGTATGGAAAATACTTCAGCCATACAAGTTACCATTGGATTGGTTGAGAGAATTTGCTCACTCCTGAATATGTACCTCCAATTCATTTGTACATAACAGATGTCTAGTACTTCAAGTGATTCAACTGCAACAAATCAGGCTTTGAATATATGGCAGTGTAAGCAAGACAGCTGATAATTTAGATAATTTTGTACCCCGCCGTGCTGAGTAAATTTGTTTTATAAGGGATGATCACATTTAAATACAGGCACTGCAAAATATGACAGCTCCTTACAAGTGAAAAGCACTCGTCCTTAGTTTTAAAGCTTGCTATTCTGCTGGAACTGCGACACCAAGGAAAGAACCTGCTCTGAGGCTTTAATGGCCTTTGTCCCCAGATAGGCTGCACTGTTAGTGGCTGTATCCTCTAAGAAGTACCGGTAGTTCACCATCATGCCACACGCAGCAGCAATGCCCCGAGGGCTCGTGTCTGCCATCCAGTTTATCCGCCACAACACGGAGCCATTCTGAAGGTGAAAGTTTGCTACTGGGTTCAGTGCGTAGCCGCGGTGTTTCTCCCCGTACAAATACCAGGCACACAGTCTCATCAGCGGCAAATGGAGAGCCTGGACTAATTTTTCCGATCGCACCCATTCGTTGTTGTTTAAGAGCTTCTTTAGTGTTTCGGTGGTACAGTCTCCTGTGACCTGAGATAGTTCTTGGCGTTCTGATTCTGTAAAAAGTTCATTCTTTTCCAGTTCTTTTGTCTGTGAGGAGAGGAGACCAACGAGCCATTTTGTGAACCCGGGGATAGGCGAGAGAGTAGAAAAAGTTTTTATCTGAGGGAGTTCTTTCTGCAGATAAAAGGAAAGCAAAAAAACCTTATGAGTTCCGTCATGACTGAGAATGAGAAGTTTGAGTGAAGATGAAGGGTTCTGAAAATGAACACAGAATCACAGAACCACCAAGGTTGGAAAACACCTCCAAAGACCATCCAGTCCAGCCATCCACCTATCACCAATATTTCCCACTTAACCACATCCCTCAGTACTACACCTAAATGTTTCTTGAACACCTTCAGGATCAGTGACTGGGAAATCCCCCTGACAGTGACAGCTTAGCATCTGAAGAGCACATGGAGCACTACAAAAACTACAACAGCAGCTGAATCACAGCCCACGAACACACAACCTTTTTAAAATACTTATATAGTACTTACCAGCCCTATGTGCTGAAATAAAGGCAATCATGTGCCATTAAAAAATTATTTAGAGAAATAAGATTTAGAAGTATAAATCAATCAGCATCTGTTTTCAAAGCCTTTTAAGTAATTTATTTTTTTTACGTGTAACTAATGAAGGAGAGTTAACAATTTCAGCCTACAGGAAAATTAGTAGAGCTATGACTTCCTGTTTTTTGGGGAAAGAAGTAGTTCCTGAAGTTCTGAAGGAGGTGTTTTGTACTTCTCATGCTATTCAGAAACTAAAAACTACACGGGTAACACAGCAAGATAAGAAATATATATAGACAGTTAAAAAAAAAAATAATCACACAGTTAATATTTGAACACAACAAAGCCTCTGCTCTACTCCTATCAATCCATGAGTCAGAATGATTCATTACATAATCTTCTAAAGCAAAACATCCGGTGTGAAAACTGTACGTTAGTTTTGGGGCACATCAACACAAAGAATAAAGAAGGTTGTTTAAACTCACTCTCACTTGCAACGAACAAAACTGACCTCAAAAGTTAGCCCTACTGAAGGAGTAGGGAGAAGGACAAGGAACAGAATTAAGACAGTGCTGCAATGAAACAATCCCTGTGTTTTAATTACTGTTCATAAAGGAAACTGTGCTAAGAATAGACATTTATCAGCATTACAGAAGCATCTGAATGTCAACAGCAAATTGGCTTTAAATGACTACAAAACACATTTTCTTCTACTTTAAGCACTTCCCAGATAACCATTAAAAAGTCATCATCACTGAGACGCAATCTCACACAGGCAAATGTTAATGGAATGTGTGCTGCTGGGGCGTTCAGACTGCACCTGCACTGCTGCATCCTCAGGTACTGCTGAGCTCCACACCACGCTGCTGTCTACGTCCTGTTTCGTGAGGATACAGAAGCCAGGGAAAGCAGACCTGTGGCACATCCCCATTACAAATCGGAACGTACAACACACGTTACTAAAAGCCTCAATAACTGAACGAATACCCTGATGGTTATTTACCATATTTTAGCTTTTTCCTACTCACACAGTGCTTCCCAAATAGCTCACTGCTCTTCTGCAGGTTTCTGGTACCATGATACACCCAGACCTGTTCAGTTCAAGTCCATTACATAGTAGGCAGATATGCAAGTCACAGTTCTTTTGGGACCAGGCAGAAGCAAGAGAGGTAGACAGAAGATACAAAGAAGCATCCCTTTTCAACTCTTTGGAGGACTGAATAGAGAAAACTAGTAAATTATTTAATAAAAACACTCATTTCAGTATCATTTTGAACAAAATGACCATTTCTGTAACCAAGAAAGCCAATGAGTTCCTGACCAGGTCATAGTCTCAATTATTCTAGCTACCGTGGTCCGACAGTGCAATACCATTGATGCATCAATCTCCTGTAACATTTTCAAGTCTCCCACTCAAGGACATAATAATATTTTATTTTTGAGAGTCGCTCTGAAGCATAAGAGTGTGTAGAGAATACAGCCTTTGTAAAACAGAACAGTTTATTAGGGCTGTGCTCTTACTGCAGATGGTTGACGCGGAGGGTACGGATATAGCAAATAATTTTTAATATAAAAAAATATTCCTTCAGCATTTTCTCCTGCATTTTCTGAAAAAGATTCTTCTCTGCTTTTGAGAAAAGAAGCAGTGATCACACTGATCTTAAAATAAACTGGGGGGCAGGAAAAGGGCAAAAGAGAAAACAGAACAAAGCAACTCCATACCCATTAAAAAACCTTCCCTTGCCAGCCCCAAACTAAATATTTCCCCAAGGATATAAAGACTCTTTCATCCACAAATCAGTTCATAATGACTTTAAAGAAATTCGAATATAGAATCAAATGAATCTTCTTTTAATCTCCTTTTATCCATCTCCATGCAGTGTATCTCAATTAAGGAGTATGCCTAATCACATCCAAGATCCACTCTATAGCAGCAGGATCTTAATTAGTATGGTAAAGGAGAGTTATGTTCAGGTGCTCCCTTATCAGCTGCACTTCCCTTGGTTTAACACTTGCTCCCACCCTCAGGACAAGACTGCTAGCACAAAAACACTGCTCCAGAGGAAACACAGAAAGATGCATTTTTAAGTGCTGTTGGAAAAATACACCAAGATATTTGTCCCTGGAGAAGGGAGCTGATAGCGTTCAGCTTTGTCAAGATGCTAATGAGCAGCATTACTTGTTACCTGCATTTATTCACGCACAGCTGAAAGCTGACCACTGGTGGGTGGCTCTTCTGTGTCTGGCCCACAGCTTAGCTGCTGAGACCCTGCTGGCAAGTAACAAGACCTTCTGCATGTCAGCACTTACTGCAGCTGGACAGATTTCTGCCCAGAAGGGAGGGTTACCTATCCCTTCTGAAGATTCAGTGACCCAGTACCCACCTGCCTGTCCACGCAGTAATGATGGATGACAACTCAGCAACTGTCTTCACCTGCAAAGGAATCTGAAGGCATAGAAACAAAAAAACTAAAACCCATGAAGCTTCTTTTTATCAGCATCTTTAAGCAGGAGCAAGGTTTCCCCACAATAAGTACTGGATTTCAAAATGGAGCTTTTTCCTTTTCAGCGTTTCCATTCTTTGCTGGCATTTGAAGTTCATCTTTACTCCACAGCACTGAGAACACAAAAGATGGGGATAAAGTAGCAGAAGTGTTCAAATTAATGAATTACCAATGGGATATCTGAGATGTGCTGCCAGAGGGAGTACAGATGTCACTCTTGCGCAGCAGGGAGTAGGAAAAGGAAAATGAGGAAAAGGAAAAACAAAACAGTTGTTAGAGGCTATTTTCCTCTAGATAGGAATTCGGGGAATACAAGATGTCTTTCTTTTCAACCCAAAGATGGGATTATATTCCTTAAAAGGTTTACCTTTTTTTTTTCTTGATGATACTACCTCATCCTATCAAAGTGCCTTTGGGAACACATTGCTTAGGTCTCTTTCATGAATTCTTTACAGATGTTTAGGGTTAAAACCTGACAGGAGAAGATTGGAAGGTACTGTTGAAATTCAAGAAGCAGAAATTGTTCATTCAGATGCAAGGAAAAGCTGATTGGTCCAAGAGAAAAAGGTGCTGACCAGAAAGTGAAGTCTAGAAGTCTTCTGCATTGAATCTGCTGAAAAAGTACACTATTTGACATTGCAGTTTTCCTGCTGAAGACGACTAACAGCTTCTCACACAGAAGCTGAGCCACTCTAAGTCTCCTATAAGGTGACAGTGCTGTTCTCATCTCCCAGAACTCAGAGTTGGGGGGTAACAACACACCATCCACAGTGACTAGAGAACAAACAATTCCTTCCCATTCCTGTGTATTAATAGTAGCCATTGCAAAGTTGCTAATTAAGTACAGTCATTTTGCTTTCTTGTGATGTTGGCTGCTCTTTGTTTATCACTCACTTCCAGAAGTGACTTGCTCACCAAGTGCAACCCAAAATATTCATCACAAATTTAGTAATTTCTATTCTATTAATAAAAACCAAATGAGAAATAATGTGTTGGTTTTTTTTAAACACTTCCTAGGATAGATAAGACATAGGAAAGTGACCCCGTTTTGAAGCTGAGTACAGACTGCTACATATCTGATAATTGCTTGAGTTTAGGAGCTTATCTGAAGCAGCCACTTCTTGTAGAAAAATAAATAGATGCAATGAAATGTGCACATTTATGATGTTGCTAAATTGATGTGCTAGCTTCTAAGGCTATTGGTGGAGATCCATCAATGTTTATTTTCTTGTCAGAAGCCCACATGCCGTTAAGAAGCAGCTGCTCATTTTGTTTTGGGGTAGATTTTTGGGCTTGGTTGTCTTTTACTTGTGTTGTTTCTCATATTATGTATATCTCTGTCTTGCTTTCTGAAAGCTGAAGTCCAAGGTCACATTTTTCATCAATGAAAATAAAGCCTATTTTGAAAATTATGATCTCCCCAGGTCACCTAGATCAAATTAAGGTAGCAATTATCAACAGCCCAACCAGAAAGCTAAAACCTGTCACCAATTGTTAAGTGCTCTATCAAGTCACACAGTAGCTATCAGTTTTCTCCCCCAAATGCCACAGGCTGTAAAATTGTGAGCAGTTTTCTCAAAGGCTTCACCAGTTATCTGTGTCTGTCATCTGCAGCCTGAATTGCTATGATGTGCCTTCAGCTGAGCTACAGAACACTTAGAGAGGCTATAAACACATTCAGAATTAAATGTCTGTCTAATGAGAAATCTCTCTCTCTATACATTCACCAGCACCTATCAGCTTGCTAGAAAGGCATCTGCCTGCTTGTTTTCCAGCACCCACTTTTTTCTCAGCTAGCTTTTGGAATTGTTTCAGAATCCAGTCATTACCTGGACCAAGCTTAAATTTAAGTTGTTCACTTCCTGCTTTATACATATTAATATGACCCTGAATGCATAGGTAGCCTGTTCTCAGATCTGTAAGGGGAGAACTGTGACCACAGTAGTATCAGTGGACTAAAGAACTCAGCCTGCTGCTAGCCCCAAAGTAATCCAAAAAGGACAAACTTAGGCAACAACAGAAGCTGGTTTACAAAACTCCTCCAAGCTATTTATGTAGCAAACTTTTGTCAACAATTACCCTTGTTCATCACTCAAGCTACCTCCCCGAGGTCCTACTCTGTCCTGTTCTATCCACCCCCTTTACACAGTTGTATTACAATTCCTGTGGCAAATACCAAATCATAACTAGGCAGAGATTAAGAATTCAAACTGCCAGCTCTGAGCATATAAAGAGATGAAACCAAGGACCCATTTCTGTGACTGAACTTCACATGTTCTTCATCTGCCTAAATCAGTGCAGTAGCCATTAACTTCTACAGAGAGACTCAAACTACGCTTAACACTGAGGGCTGTAACCTTCATCAGAGCCTCAATTGCTGCAGTTTTCCTACAACACACTTACAAGAATTATTTTCATTAGGGAATCTATAGCTGATGTTCCTTGAAGGTGAGAAGTGCTAGCCTACATGTGTAGCATGTATGTGACCAGTTCAGAAGAATTAGCAAGATTTCTAAACATTAACTTCTATCTAAATTTCCCATTAATGAGACTTTCTTTTCAAAAACCTGGTCATAACTGAAATTACAGGCATACCTTTGTAGGGTAGATACCGCCCAGTTCCACATTTCAGTACAGTTTTTAAAAGTCTTCCCAAACAAATGCTTCAACTGGGTGGAGGGGAGGGGTGGTTATTAGCATTTTGCTTGCTTAGTGTGTGTCTTTTTCTGATCTAGTGATACACATTCATGACAGGCCCAATTTGGAGCTTTCCTTATGAAGAATGACAGCTGAAAATTCAGTTTTAAGGTTACAATGGCAGTACAAGTTGAAGTGTCAGAGCAGGTTAAGCTAAGGCAAAGTCAGATAAACGAGTTTCACTGGAGGATTAAAAAAGAGTTCTGTTTGTAGTGCCTTGGGAAAACATGAATCAAACACCATTCTGCAGGCCAAAAGGGTGTTAACAGAAGTTAACTCAAATGGCAAGTTATAAAAGTGCATTAAACACTAACATTCAAATGTGTATAATGAACAAGAGAATCCTCAACTCCTTCAAATGCTCTCCCATGCATTTTATTATCAGTTTAATTTAAGCCAGTCTTGGAACACTCAACCATTTAGCAATGCCTTAGACAGGGGGTTGTTTACTGCAAAATAATGCAAAGGTTATAGAGAAAAAAGAAAAAAAAAGGTATTCCTATTGGAAACCTCAGCTCTGTTTTTTTACAAAGGCAGCTGGCAGCTTAATGAGATGAAGTTTCTGATACCATCAAGATCCTTTCGCTGAGACTACACTGTTTTCAGCTGCTGTCACCAAGTCAACTCAGCACTACTGTTACACTGTTTGTCCCCTTTCAAGTGACTATAATGCCACTCCAAAGAATGGAGCCCATCTGAATGTATACAACCTTGCAAAACCTTTTACTTACACCTGACCAGAGAGAAAGAGTGCATATTTGTGCAGTTTAAAGCACTGATGAGGACTTTCAGAACGCTGGGAGAATGGTTCAAAGAGGCTGCGAAGAGCAGTACTGAAGAACGCAGGAAGTGGAAGAAGAGAAAAAGATTCTAGCACCAAATAAATGAAAAAAAACCCCCACATTATGGAACTACATTCATCATGTAGAAACAGCCCTGGATTATCTTTCATTTCTCAAACTCATCACAGACCTACAATGGCACCCCAACAAAGCCTATTATCTGAAGAAAAAAAAAGAATGGTGCAGAGAGAAAACATGGAGGTTGTTATAGTTTTAAAACAGCCTTAACGTGGCTGTTTGATAAAATGACTATTTCCAACAGATTGGGGCATTAAGCCCGTTTTTACCTCACAACTTACAGCACTGAAATAATCATGCCTTCGTGTGCTTGCAAGTGGCGCTTAAAGTGGTTTTGGATTAAATTTCATCTTTTCACTCCAGCCCTCACAAAAATGATATGACTTGCTATCTACCTAGGAGAAAGGCTTTATTTTGCTGTCCGAGCTTTACAAGATTGTCATTAAAGTATGATCAAATGAAAAGATCTCTGGAAAAAGAAATACATTATAACTTCAGATTTCTGTATATTCTGCCTTCATATCCATTCAGCAGAGAAACAGATCTGCAGTGGGTGTGAGCTGAAACTGCCTGTCTCCCCACCTCAATAAAGCAAACCAAAGCCATGCTTCGATTTTGAATCAGAAATGTGCTGAAGAGTAAATAAATAATCTTTTCTTGTACTATGTTCCCATCAGTTCTATGACTAAAACAGCCATAGGAACTGGGTGGGCTTTGGATTATGTATGACTGGCAAGACCACAGATCTGTTCAATTAAAAAAATCTCAATTTCTCAGTAGCATGTTAGAAAGATGACTGTGTGAAGCTGTTCAAAAGCGGCTGATGAGTGCCATCCATTCAAATCACACTTAGCTGAACAAAACCTTGATATAGAATAATGCCTTGTTTTGTTTGTAGCTATTTAAAATAAATGTGGCTGAATCAGTTGATACTACACAAAGATGGACCTTATTGTCACAGGGCTTAAAATATTAACTCATCTTAGGTAGCAGATTTCTTAAACTTAAAAAAAATAATTTCTCTGCATTTCCAGTCACACACGCACTGTACACACTAATAGAAACAACAAGCTACTGATCTTGGTTTTCCAAATTCAGTGTCAAAACTCATCTTTTTTATTTTCTTCACTTAATACAAGGAATGATTTTTGCTTATGAAATCTGACTCAAGAGTAACAAGCAAAAGCCTGAAAATCCCAATCAAATAATGGGAGACAATGCCATGAAAAGATTCAGAAGAGAAGAGCTGCAGGTGCAAAGTGAATGTATACAACATGCATAAAATGTCAAAGTGTAAAAGCAGTGTAAATACGTTTGATAACAAATAGAATAAAACAGATGGAATCATTATTTATTACAACGTCAATCTTATGATTTTCCTTCCATAAGTCAAATGATAAACAAGAAGGTAACAAAAAGTCACTGAAATCTTTGTCTATTTTTTTAAATACATCTGAAATACAACTGCTAGGCTAACTGAAAATTCTATGGTAGATGATTAAAAAAGCCCATGAAATCTGAAGGAAAATATTTCTACACACTCCCTCTTGAGCATTAGCTTCATTCTTACAGTACATCCCTGCTTTTTAAGTAGACTGATGGCTATTAAGCGTACTGGGTGAGAAAATCATGGCAGCGGTGCCTTACTGTCTGGATGTGAAGTCTGCAAGGCAATTAACATTTTCAGATGTAAGACAAAATTAGGAAAGAGAAATTTAACTTTAAAAGGTCTGATCTAAAGGGAAAAATCTGACCTGTAAATAAAAGCTGGTTTTCACAGATTATTAAAGCCCAAGTCAGACTGCACAATCAGATCATGTATTTAACTTCCTGAAATGCTGCACTCTGCTCCACTTCATAAATTCTCAGCTGCAGTCAGCTTAATCATTTCAGATTGACTGGAGGATGTATGTAAGAAGAGTATCTGGCCTTGTTCTGAAGAGACGAGGAGATTCAGAATTCCACCAACACATGACCAACTGTTACTTTTTGTATTCACATCTAGGATAAACTATATTCATGCAGTATGAAATGAAGTTCCAGAAAAAAGGGATAAGAAATAAGAGCAAACAAGATGATAGCTGTTCCTGAATCACAAGACAACAGCCTGTTTCAGATGTTAAAGGCATCACAGCCAAACTGCTTTCTATTCATTATATATGTGATGAACACTGAAAGAAGATTGCATTTCATAATGCTGAAATGTAGAAACTGTCTTAATTATAAATAAGAAAGCAATTATTCTGTTGGGCACGTTGAATTTCTGAACTTGCCCCTGTGTTATCTAAGTATGATATGTCTGTCTATTTTCTTTTGTAACTCACTCATAATTTTTCAATGTTGTAAGCAATTTAGTGATGGACAAATACATTGTCAATGAGGTTATTTTATGAGAGCAACTCAATTAGCTAGAAATAATTTCAGATTTGAAAGCAGATAACTGCATGAATTTATCCCAATTTCCCCTCAGTCAAGATCAGGCAGATGGCACAGCCTAATTACACCTGGACTAACTGCACGTTGGACAATTAATCTAAAAGCTGTTTCGAAAGCAAAAAGCAACAAAATTCAGCCAAAATAGCCATTAAAATAAAAAAAAAAACAACACAAAAAAATCTTCAGGGCAGCCAGCTCTGATCCAGTACTTGACTGGTCACTCATTTTGTAGTAGCAGAAATTTGATGCATCCAATTTTGACTTATTTTTAACAATAGGACTGAAGTTGTAAATCACAGACAATTTTCCAAACATTATTACTAATCCACATGTTGGAATAGTTAATAAAAACATAAGCATTGATCATGACTTTGAAGAAGTAGCTTTGTTAGTAATTTAAATATTAAAGACTCTTAAATGAAATAATGTACTTAACACAGAAATCTGACTTTCTCTTCCACAGCACTCTGTGTAAGTTAACTCCCATTCATTTCTCCTGTTGCTAGGAAGAAGGCTCTAGTAGACATTAGTAGTCCTAAAAGTGTTAACAGTAACCCTACAGCATGCCATGATACTATATAAATTCCTAGAACTGATTTGCATAAATTAATTGATTTCTGGTACTTGCAAGTGCTAAAGATGTTTTCCTTCCTATACTGTAAGAAATGTCTGAGCAAAGAGATGCATGTATTTGTATGGCTTAGAAGGGAGTATTACTCCATTGACTCAACTGATGCACAGCAGTGAATCCAATAACACATTACATGTCAAAATAAAGCTAAATTATATCTATGTTCAACAAAGAGTACTGTTTGGATTCTCAAGCAACCCATGCATGTGGTCTGGCAGACCAAATAATTCACCAGCACACATCAACTATGTGACAGTATCTACATCTGGCAGCCATTAACTAATAGCAGAAAATGTTCTTCCAACTCTTTCCAGATTTTCAAAGGGTGACCTGGTAAGAAGTTAAAAGCGTAGAAGACCCAGCAGCTCCCCACCTTGAAAATGAGACAAAATGGAAGCTAAAACAGCAGTGTAAAGGGAGCACACTGGCCAAGCAGTACCTTATGTGCACCCTGCACACCTACCTGCAGCTCCTTTACCACACGTTTGATAAGGTAAGTCCCAAGTTCCACCCCCTGCAGTCCTTGCTGAGTCAAACTGATTGAGTAGAAAATTGCTGTTGTAATTTTGTCTGTATCCTCTGTTTCTAAAGGTTCCACTTCTTTCACTATGGCCTGGGAAAATAAGAACACAACGCAGTATTAGTGGTAATTACTATTTTAATAACATGTGAAGGGGCCTTTCTTCCTAACTGTCAAGTGTGTTAACATGTTTCTCGCAGAGAATAATGAATCAAGCAGTGGGAAAACAACAAAAATCCAATCAAGACAGAAAGGCTGTTTATTCATTAGGAAGCGTGTGGGAAATAATTGTAATGGGTTTAAAAATTTCAGAAACAAATTTCGTTAATTGCTTGCAGGTTTTAATTTTGCTTACTGTATTTTCTTATTTATGTTTTATCTTAACTTATTGTTTTTGAATTTGAACAAAACTTCCAAATTTTTCTTGATATAATATGGAGGATCCTCAGAAAGTCCCTATATTTAAGAGGAAAGCCAACTCACCTTTTTTTTCAAATGAAACAAAACCAAATAATTGCAGACTGTCAGAAATTAGAGATTTTAAAAACTGTATGTTGCAATTTAAACACTTTGCTGTAGACTGAATATATCAGTGACTGTACCTGGATGCTGCTGGAGATATCACTGGTTAATGCAACATGCAAGACTATCAACGGCTCTCCTGGGATTGCACAGTGAGAAAAAAAGTAGCATCTTCTATATGACCCCACTCGACGCTTCATATCAACCCAGTTTCTAACAGGATGCACGGCTTCAGAACTCAATGAAGAAAAAGAAACATTTGTTGTTTCATTTAAAGAATGCAGTCGCCAGTCCTACAAACTCAGTACTTTCGGCATTGAGATCAGTAACAAAACTCCCAGATTAAAAAAGGAGAATCGGGCTGCGATTCGAAAAAGTAAAATCCATCATCAAGTTGTGACAGAGCCAATTGTAAAGGCCTACTGCATAGCAGACCTGTGGTTTTCTTTGGGATATACTCATAATGAAATCTCACTTACACCCTCTGCTTACTGTAGGATACCCAACTCAGATGATTAAGCCACTGAATGAGTCTGCACATGCCTCTAAGGAACTAGTTTTCCCAAACTACATAGCAGAGATAACATGATCATCTTTGTAAAATATCTCAACGTTTTCATAGGAAAGCGAGAAAAAGATTTCCAATCATAACATTATCTACTAAGCATCCTTAAAAGTTTAGGCTGGTGTACACATTAAAGCATTTCTGCTTTTCTACTTCAGCCCATTCTGAAATATATTTGCCACCAACGCACCACACACGCACTAATAGTGTAACCTGATTTTAAAGTACTCAAATAATAGTTTGGAATATTTTGTGCACTGTTATTTCACAGGTCCGTGTTACGTACTGTGCAGACACAAGGATGTGACATCTTGTACTTTAGTAACTTTCACTAACCGAGCCAAATGCTTTGGTACATCATCATCAACACTACCTACGCTTAGTTGAATTCCTGCTAGCACTCCCACAGTCACATCTTCAAGCAAGCATTCAAAATATTCTTTCCCTATTACATCTGAAAGTCTGGAATGTTTGCCAAAACACCCAAAAAATTAAATATTACCAATTCTTTTTATTTTAAAGTTCAGCTTGTGTAAGATCTCTTTTCTTTGCCTCATTCACATTTAAGTCATGTACTTTCACAACTTTCTTTACAGATTCGTTTTTCAAGCTTTTCATATAACACAGCACCACACAATTTAATTTTTATTCAACAACATTCAACTTCATCACTATAATTTTGAGTATTTGACAGAAAGTAAAAAAATAAACGCTGGAGATTTAAAGGAATGCTTATTTAAAAACAAAAGACAAACAAAGCAAAACCACCGTGCTCCCTGCACATAGAGATTACACAGTTTCTGCACACCTCACCAGTTCCAACCAGGAAAGGAAGCCTCACTACCTGAGGAGTAAAACATGTTCTTGAATTTTGGCACTCCATCACATTTAAACACTTATTCTCCTCCAACACTGCTATAACTGCTGGGGCAGACTGAGGGGAGAAGGTGACAGTGGTGCTGGAGGTAGCAGTGGCAGCAGCACCTGTGGGAAGAAAGCGAGTGCAAGAAGGCAGTGCAATGAGAGTCTGGGCGTGCAGGAAAAGTAGCAGCACCTCTAGTAATCTGCTGGGGATGGAGTAACTGAGAAGGATGCATGGAAACTCATTTGCTAGAATTGATAGCAGTTTATCCACGTAGTGTGTGAGCAAACAGTGGGGCAACAATCCCTTTTCCTTAAAAACTGCAGTGTATTTTTAAAGTACACTCTTAACTGCTCCTTAATTACACCTAGCCTGAGATTAAGGATTGGAAAAGTGCTTATCTTGAGAACAGTGCAGTCACAAACCTTTCATTGCCATTCCACCAATGAGAATTAGGAAGTTTTAACACTTACTCACTGATTTTCTGGAGTACTTCACAAGGTGATTGCCACGTGACCCGCTCCAAATTTAGGAATCCTGTTGAAAACCACTCTGAGAGCATGTTCTTTAGAACACCACTCATTTCCTGCAAACAGGGGGGAAAAAAAAAAAAAAAGAAAAAAGAAAAGTAAGCCAGGAAAGAACACAAAAATGTGAGAAAAATCATTAAGAACTACAACACTGGGAAGTTCAAGGAAAACAATGCATGTGTTCAAGATTAAAGGCCTAGGAGCTCAGCTTTCAGGACTAAAACAATGAAAACGTTTACAGAATTAATTTACTGTCAGTACTAAGCTACAGATAGGGAAACTGATGTTAATGCAAAACAGCATAGGGAGAAAGCAGACAATAAGTAGAAGCATTTGAGAAGTCTTGACAGTAAAGCAGCAGTTGCGTAGATGCTCAGATACATGATTTGTTTCTTGCTATTTAAATCAATGGGAAGCGATGAAAATAAGGATTTGAAATTCAATCTAATTTTCTACCTCTGAATCCTCTTTGAGTATTCAAGACATTTGTGCCTCGAAGATTACTGTAGCAGATTCAATAGCAGTGGAGTGGCACATACCCACTCGGGATAATGAAATGGGAAATGCACACCTTGGAACACGATGCAGTAACACCATCGGCTTCACAGAACTCTCTTTTAACTTTTGTATAAAGGAACGTTTTTCAGCAAGAGAAACAAAAGCAGCAGCATAAGATGACAAAGCTCAAAAACGGCAGTAGACTTGGAACAGTGTGATACCGAAATTAAAGTCAACTGTAATGGCAAATACTTTCAGAAGCATTCATCATCATAATGAATTTCCTATTCCACACTAATTTCCTGCTGCCTATTTTATTAAAGATTTTCCTAACTGAAATTCTTTATTTGAGTTTGCAAAGTCTTCTTTAACTCAGCACAGCATGAACATTCCTTAAAGAGATTCTGAAGTTATTTTTCTTTCTTATATTTGTTTTGCATATAGGACACAGCATGATGCTAGCACCAACTTAACAACAGCCTGAAAAGAACTGTAGGCTTACCTGGAACTAGCTTCATAACCACTCATTTAAAAGCAAAAGCTGCTCACTTTCTATTCAGACCTTTAGCAAATAGCCACTGTTGTAGATTAAAAACATATAGATACAAAATTATGCTACAGTGCACTTTAGCTTGCTACATCTAGCTAAAACAACAGGACAAAAAGTAGAAACCTACCTAGAAATTAACACTTCCTACTTAAAACATTTTACCAAAGCTTAGCTGTAGTCTCACTACTTTCCTATGAAAGCAAAACTAGTACCAAAATTGTAAGAAAGTAACATCAGCTGTTGTTAACCAAAGCTGGTTTCAGCATTTCAGTGAGGTGCTATAAGAAGTAACATTTTCAAACCCAGACTGCCTGCAGCCAATTGAGATTAGATATTTCAGTTTACCCCAAGTCCTCCCGCTAGAATTAAATGTACTCTTCCCACAAAAACTCCTAAAGCAAAGTTGGTGCCATTGACCACAGTTGTGGATTTTGCAAGGTAAATTCATAGCAAATCCTGGCTCTATTCCACATAGAAAAGGTCAATTTTTCCTTACAGAAGAGCTTTGGTTTTTCTTTGTCATTCCATTTCATTTTAGATTTACTAATTTCTTTTAGTGAGTTACAGAGGCTTCAGTTTGACAAATATTTTTGTCTGTGCAGGTGAACCACCTGGAACAAAAGTACCATTCATCTGCACAGAACAGTTCTGTTGCGCACAGAAATTTAATGCTACCTTTCTATGATATTTTTCAGTAACATCCTCAAAAATATTAGAAAAGAAGAGCTTGCTTATTGAAGCATAAATTGATGCGTACTGCAAATACTGAAAATGTCAATTGTGTTGTTCCAAACACAGGGAATATCCATTAACTCTTCCATAAGGTCACATCTCCAAATCTGTGTAAATTATTTCTTTATTGGTCTTTCTCAGCAGAGCTGCCTTTATGTTATAGAATACACTTGCTAGATGAGCTGAAAGTCTTTTGTCAAACTGTTTTTCCACCTGCACTTGTACCACAAGGCTGTACATGCCAGTAAAAAGTGAATACAAAACTGAAATAATGTACATAAAATTTACCTTCACATTCATTTGTAAGGTAAGCAAACTGGAAGACAATGGAAGCTGTGTAATGCAAGTCACCACACCAGCATACAGATAAAACATACGTGGCTGTTGGCAGCACATCCCTCTGAAGACCTGAGAGAACTGAGGACCACATTAAAGAAAACCCATTCTATAACAGACACATCTAATCTATACCAGCAAAACTGGACAGTTCTTCCAGGCTACCAAATTTAAGAGCAAACAGCAGGTAAAGCAGGCAGCAGAGCTCCAAACAGCCTGAGTAGCAGCAGCTACAAGAAGGGCTCCTTTAGGAAGGTACACAGGGACTGAGCAGGGAACAGAGCAGGTACCAGCCCACACCTCCACAAGGACTCTGCATCAGCAAGAGTTCTAATGGGAGAAGCTGAATTCTCTTCTGTTTGGACACTTTTTCACATGATGGTGTGAGTGCCCTCAACAAGCGTACTCTGACTCTTGTTCCTTGTGGTTCCAAGGATTCCCTCATGAATCCTTGTTTCTGTCCAGCTCTGAAGTTTATTTAAAAATAACCGTATATCATTTTGGTCAAACATCCTTCATTGTAGCAATGACCTCCACAAATATCTCAAAATTGTTTTGTTTTCTTTTCTAAGGGCACAGCACAGGCTGGTAAATTAAGCCAGAGGTGTCAGAGTTAGGGTCATGCTAACAGAACCCTACAGCTCTCGTCACCCATCTGCTTTTTGGAAAGCCAATGCCATTTCAAGCTGCAGTCTAGCAGCTAGCAGGGAAAATGCTGATGCTGACCCTGCTGTCATTGAGTCGCCCACAGATGTGGGAGAAAGGCAGCTGTGCTACACAGAAACTTTCACAAGTCAAAAACATGGAATCGGCTGCATTTTGCCTCCTGAAGCAGCTACAAGTTTAGCAAGCATGCTCTATAGGATGGGATATCATGATGTCTAACTGGACTGGAAGCTACTTTCCAAAATACAGAACAGTAGTACAGAGCTACTTCAGGTCCAAGACACAGTGGTATAAAAGCCATGGAACTCTAACAGAGAAGAAGGTAAAGCTGATGGTACCTTTGGTAATGACTTCAGTAGACAGGTATATTATTTATGGGGAACTGTCACTCAACACACATCATCTGTTGGTTGTAAATAATAATGCCTCGTAAAGTAACAGAACGGCACACAGCTGGAACTGTGCATGTTAACACAATTTCTTTGTGGAGAAAAACAAAAGTTGTAGGTGCTGTAAAACTGATTCAAGTCATGCGAGCAAAACACAGAGCTGTGCTGAATGCCATAATGTTCACTAAACCTCTGAAAGGTTTGATTCCAGTAATAACATTCCTAAGTCAGGTTCTCTTATTTCATATATTTAGTGGTAAATTAATTCATATTTTCATTTCAGAGGCCTTTCCAAACATAACATTTTAGCCAAAGCTCCTTAAAATAAGAATAAAAAAGAAATCACCTTTATTAATGAGCAGCCAAATTTTAGATATGAGCAACTAGACATACAGTAGTGCGAAAAATTACCAGCTGTACTTTGGCTTCTACTGGCTCTGTATGATAAACTGTGATTTTGCTCAAAGACAGAAAAACAGAGGCTTTCTGATCTTTCTGAACATCAGGTCTGTGTTGGGCAACAGATGGGAAAACCCTTATGAAAAGCCTGATTTTCTTGTATTAACAGAACCTGCCTCTGATGAGGAAATTACTTCAATGAGGAAACAACTTCACCACCTCTACACATCATTTACCATAACATATTGAAGGAACACCAGCTATTAATGCTTTATAAACCAATACCTAACAGTCCAAGCTGTTCCTGTGCTGATCCATTTTGGGAAATACAGGTATTTGATATTTACATCACACAGTGGTGGGTAATCCTTGTTTTAACAGGACTTTCAAACTGCAAAATAAAATCTAAGGGCTCTCTAAGAACCCAAAAGCCAGTAGGCAGCATTTTAAAATCTCCTCCATCATGACCATCTATTTCATTTTATTTCCACATTTTTTCAGTGCAGACACAAACAGCAATTATAAAATTCTTTTAGTAGTTTTGCTTTTATGTACGGTAGAACTTAAATCCATAGTAACTAGAGGCAGCTACAGAAGCCTTTAGACAGGTAAACACCAAACACTTCTTTCTTCCCTAGGAAAACTTTCAACTTCCAGTTGTTTCTCTAGATAAGGGCTTCTTAGATCTTTAAGGGAAACTGTTTTAATATTTGGAGTGCCAAGAGGGCAACTGTTTCATACAAGTGAACTGACATCCTAATCCACTGGGAGCCCTAGTCAATGAGGCAGCAGTTATTTCATGGAAACAGCCAACTTCAGCTCCTCGTACAGGTTGCTGCAAGAGGAAAGAACACTCAATTACAGAGCTTCTTTCATTTCCAGCAGACCAACACAAGAGCAAAAAGTCTGCAGATATGCCTCAACTACTGCTTAATTGTGGAACCAGGTTTGCTTATAAATCAATTGGACAAAAATTCTTCCTTTTTCATTACTTTTTTTGCCAGCAACTTGAACTTTCAACTTTCTTTTGCCTAAATCGTATGGAAAGATAAATATCTGAAATGCAGCAGGTCAGTTCTTTGTTACCTGGAATAATATTATGAAGTCTTCACTAGCAGCTGTATTTCAAATGCTGGAACTGGGGAAACAAGCAAAATATGACAACTCACAGGAAGGAGGAGCTGAGGTTGGAAAAGAAGTAATGCAGCTGAGAGGGTTCTGCACTGTAATGAGAGCTGAACTCAAAAAAAACCCAAAAAAACAGGATTTCAGCAAATTTCACTCTGCATGCTACAAGGGAGCTCATACAGAAAGCCAAGGCAAACCAGGGCTGCCTCAAGCTTCTATGGCTACATGCTACTTACTGCCAGCTCTCGTTTTAGAACGCATTACATCTGAACAACAGAACTGATGAACAACTGCAAAGAAGACCACAAGATACACAGAACTGGGCACAGCCACACCACGAAACCCAACGTTTCAAAAAACGTTTTCAGAAGATGTAACAGAATATTTATGACAGCCTTTTTATTGAAGCTTTCGTTCCACAGATGACATTACCCTACTTTCAAATGGGTCATGTTTGATGTCATACTGTATTATTTGATGTGTGTGTTTTACAGAATTCCATTGTGCTGATTTTGCAGATTCAGTCTGTTGTTGCTTGAGATGATTCAGCTAGAGGCACAGTGTTACCAATTGTCACTACACTGGCCATATGTAAGGATCATGTTTAATACACTAATATGTGGGAATACAAGAAAAACTGTCCAGAGCAGCAGCTGTGGAGCAAGATAAACAGCATAAAACTAAGGACACCTCTAGAAAAAGAAAGAATTTCTCAGGGCTCTGACTGGATAAGCATCTGTGTGAATGGTTGAAGAGTGTTCTGTAGAATGCTCTGTTGACATGTATAATTAGAGTAGTGCTTAACAATAAAGCAGACTAATAGCTTTTAACCACATTGGTGTGCTATTGTGTCTCCAGTCCTGGGAGTCCAGAGACTTCCCCACACTAATATATATATATAATAAATATATAATATAGTTTTTCTAGCAAATTTAGGAACTCAGCACCGACATTAAGTCATCCCATTTTTATCAAACTTAACTTGGATCTGAACAGTGAAGGGTTTTAGAATCACAGAATGACTTGGGTTGGAAAGGACCTCAAAGTTCACCATCTCCTGCTGCAGACAGGGTTGCCTAGTACTAAATCAGGCACCTGGTCAGGTCGCCTATAGCCCTATCCAACCTGGCTTTGAGTTGCCTAACTCACCGTCCTTCTCTCAAACAGAATCTTTGCACTATGCCCCGGCAGCCCTGCCCCTACACGTCATTCTGCGAGCTCCTGACAGCAATGACAGCCACATCTTCAGCTCAATACGTCACTCCACATCAGGGCCATCTCATCAGGGTACGCGGCCCGGCCGCACACCCTCCCCCCCGTGCCCTGACCATCTCCTGGACCCCCGCCCTCACCTTGACGTGAGGCCCATCCACCTCCTTGCTCGCCAGCCCCTCCACCAGGTCTCCCCTCAGCTCCACCAGGAAGCGCAGCCCTCCCTCCAGGCGGCCCAGGTGCTGGAACAGCCCCCGGTACCGCGGGTTCAGGTAGTAACGCAGCCGGTCCTCGGCCTGCAGCAGGGCTCCCAGCTCCCTCTGCTGTTCCCGGGCCTGCAGCACTTTGGCGCTGAACTCCGCCACCCGCCCGTGATCCACGCCGAAGTCGCGGGCCAGACGAGCGAGGAGCTCAGCGCGGGGCGGCCCGGCCAGGCCGCGGTAATACCGCATGAACTCCGCGCCGCGCAGCTCGGCCGGCGGCGGCGCCTTCTCCTTGGTCTCGTAGGGCGGCAGCGGCGGCACGGAGCGGCTCAGCAGCTCCTCCATGCCTACGTCGGAGGCGGCGCGGAGCAGCCCCCGCGGCACCGCCTGGGACTGGCGCAGGAGGAGCCGCGAGTGCGGAACCAGACGACTCATCCCGCGCCCCGCCGCCCACCGCGGCCTCTGCCTGGGCCAGGCCGCGGCACCGCCCCCGGAGCGGCAGCGGGCGCGCTGATTGGCTGGCATCGCGCACCCGCCAATCAGAAGCGAGAAGGGGAAGTGCGGGAGAGTGTGGAGCGGCGTGAGAGGCGCTGCGCCGCCATCATGAGTGTGGCGGGCGCGAAAACGTGTCGTTGGACTGGTCCTTCACCGTCCTTCCTTGCACAATGCTTTTATCTTCCTCAGTGAGCGTTCCTCCAAGCATCTGCTGTGCGACTCAGTTATTCCTGGACCTTTCTCACCTGCCACTACCATTTCCTGCTCGCTGCCGCCCAGCAGCTAGCTGTACTGGAGCTCCCAATAAAGCTTCATGGTGAGCCCGTGGCCCTTACAGACAGACTTTGGTTGGCATCGTGGATTATGCTGTTTTAAGGCTGGTGGCATCCAAAACAGTTTCTGCGTATAGCCTCTAGGAGGTTTACCCTATTTGGGCTCCTGGATGCCTGCCTGCTGCCAGCTGGACTGACTGGGCAGTGTGGGTAAAGAGGTTATTTCCCAGTCCCACCAAGTTCAGTCTGAAATAAGTCCAGGAAATTGCACAGATTTGATGGTGTAATCTGATGATGTGTTCCTGCAAGCAGCGTGCCCTTTGGAGCCTGTCAAAAGCCTCTGGTGATGGATCTGAAGTCCTGTGCATGCTGCAGGGCTATTGGTGAACAAAGCTGAACACATGTGCTCTCTGGTATCTATAGATCCAGACTTACAAAGATGATTTTTTTGTCCTTTTGACACCCCATGTACTCTGTGCTTACTATTATTACATGCCCATGACACCAAGCAAAGTCCACAGGTCAGAGTGATAGCAGTGAGATTAAAAGAGATCGAGCAGCAGTTGTCTCCACTTTGGGAATCGCAAGGAATTATTGATTCTCTGCAGCTAAGAACTAAGAATTCTAAGAATTAAGAACAGATCCAGGCCCTCTTCACCACCGAATAGAGCAGTGAGGAAACAGCACTACTGCTGGTTTGTTATCTAATTAAAAATTTCCAGAGCAATGTTAGAGCTCCTGGCAAAAAAAAAAAAAAAAAAAGCAATGTCAGCAGTGTAGCACTGGGGAACTGTGGGTCATAAGATAAGCATAGAAAGCCTGAAGGAAGGGAAACATGACTCAGAAACATTAAAATATATGAAAAAAATAGTTAAAAAAATGAAATTCCAGGGGCAATGAATTACATTTCAGAAGTTCCCTTAACAACTTTGTAACTTCGTTTTCAGCAAAAGTAAAAACTCTCAAAAGTTGGCTGGTTTGTCCTGCTCCACCTCTGAAGCCTGTCAAAGCCTGCTTCTGTGCAAGGTTCACATACTAACATGGATGATAAGTCTTCACCAGATAACATGATGACATTTGAACATGCAGTGTTTATAAACAGCAGTGCTGCAGTTTCAAGTGGCTGTTAGTTAAACAAGACTGTTTTCTGTCTGAAAAATCAAAATAAAGCTTTATTCTGCAATGCTCCATAATGATGTGAACAAGTTGGTTTTTCTGTCATGTTGGATAGTTAGAAATAGAACTTTTTCTTCTTTATCCTTAACAGTTTTCTTTAAGGTGATGTATTTGTTAGGTACATGTTCATATAATAAACCATTTTACAAGCTTTGATGCAGATTTAGTCAATGAAAGCCTAAAATCTATGTCAGAAGCCTACTTGAGCCTAGATGGTCTGTCTGGCTGTTCTGGTAAATGCACATCAGCTCTCAAAACAGCGTTACAAAATGGTTGCTTCTGACTCAGCATGAAGGAGCTTACAAAAATGTGAGGAAGCCTTACGCACCTGTTCAGTTTCTGCATGATTCAGTGATTGCTGGAAACTTCAAGAAGCTCAAGAACAAAATGCTGGGAGGGGATGGAAGCTGAAGGCTTATCACCTTCCAGGAAACAGGCAGCATTTCTCAGATCAAGAACAGCATTTCTGCTTTTTTGAAGTCCTACACAGAAATCCTTTTTGTTCTTTTCATTTTGACAGTCCTCTTAGATTGGCTTTGGTTATTATTCTTAAAATAACATAGTTGTCTTGCATAAGCCACAGGCCACAAAAACTAGTTACCTATGTTGTTCATCTGCAAGAAAAAAAGCATTGTGATGTAAGTTATAAGGCTTTCAGAAGTGAGAAATTCCTTTCAAAATCTTTTACCGCTTCTTTTTGTTCCCTAGGGGAAAAAAAATCAGCCTCTTCAGCTGCTGTTTCAGAACTGAAAATGACTCTGTGTTGTGGACCTGAGGGCATGAAGAGACCTTAATGGTTCTGACCAGCTTCAGCCAGCGCCTTCTCTCACACCCTCCCACGGGCCTGGGAGCCCCGTTTTCACTTAGCCTGGCTTTCAGTCCTCTTCTGAGCTATGCTTTAGGAGTGTGGGTCTCCATTTCCACCAGAGCTCTGCCCCTGCGCCTTCCTAATCTGCAACTGCAGTCCTGCTTCCACCATGGATCTATTAATGGAACTATTAACACCATGGAGCTATTAATGTTCTGTGCCTGACTCTGGCTGCTGTCGTGGTGCCTGATTCTGACTCTCTGGTTTTACCTTGCTCCGTGGATTTACATGATGATCCAAACTGTCGACTGAACCTGGCTGCTAACAAAGCCTGCCTTGCTTGATGGTGGTGAGGCTCTTCCTGTTCTCAGCTCCATGCCATGTACAGCGTGGCCAACCCTTACTGCTCTGAGATCTTGCCTTCCTTCAAATAACAAAGACTTTGCTAAACTTGGGATGCTTGGAGATGAATTTACAATATTCTTATGAAGAGAAGATTTTTTCTTTTTGACTTTGTTGAAAATTGAATACTACTGTCGGAAAGCTGGAGATTGAAAGAGACTAATTATGCTTCAGTAATTGTAACTTTTGTCTCCAAGCAAAAAGAGAAGCATATAAAAGATGGTAAGTCGATCTGATCTACTTTTTTTCTTTCTTTCTTTTGAATCAGTTCAAATGTTAAGCAAAAATAAAGAAGATAGCCTGGATTCTCTGCTCAATAATTCCTCTGTAATTAAGATATGTGTGTGTAAGCATACGTAGGATAGAAAGAATAGAAGGAACTCCCATTAACTTCAAAGAAAGGAAAATGGAAACAAAGCCTGTGTTTGTAGCTGTTCATCATAGGGAGATTTACAGAAAAACAGAAGCCCACACTTCTGCCATAAGACTATTGTAACATTTACTCTTGTATGTAATAACCATGCATATGCACAAGATTTTTTTTTTTCTTAGCATAGCTCTTGAATTAATATTTTTTAATATGTGCTAGATCGTATTAAAAGCATCTAACTAGTTGTTTTATTGAAAAAAATAGCTATTTTCAGTTTGATATTAAGGAAGAAGCTAACAGATGATGATAAAAGGCCTCTTTCCCTGTTTTTCCTTCAAGGTTGGTGAATTAGCAGTGCTTACAGTGTCATAACGCTGTGGCAAGCTGTGTTGCAAGCTCTAAATGAGTTTGGTAATGGCTTTGGAAAGAGTTTGTAAAATGACTTTAAATGAGAGAGAGTCCTATTTTGAAGATTTCATAAATCTCAGAGGGTATTATTGGAAGAAAATCTGCTGTAGTTACTTAGCAAAAAAAAAAAAAAAAAAAAAAAAACAGAAAAAACATACACACAAAAAAATCTTTTCAGCTTTTATACTTGGCCTTCAATTATTTAGGCCCTCCAGACAGGCAATTCTATATGGCAGTTCTGGGGTTTGTTTTGTTACAACTCCCAAAACTCTCTGTTTAAAATTGGATAGAAATGTTCAATTGCCAGAGCTATAGCAGTGTTTAGCTTTAATCTTAATTTTAAATAAATATGATATTGTTTTATTGAATTATCTGGGTTTAAACACACGAGGCTTGTACGCAGAGGCTGCAGACTAAATTCTATGCTCTCAAGTGAACAAATCTGTTGAAGCTTCATTGTAAGTCTAGCTGGGTTCAGTGTTTTCATTCCTGATTCTCCAGATCTTCAAATACTTGCTTAATTTGCCGGCAGTGAGCACTTCACTAGGTAACGAAATGAAGGACTGAACAGGATAGGTATCTGCCTTTATGAACTGATCACAGCAATGCTTGTTTCAAGTGATTAAGCTGCCTGAAATGATGATTATGAAGTTAAGGATTTTTTATAGCTGACTGAAGATTCAGATCTTACTAGTTCTATCAGTTTTAAGACTATTTATAACTGTCAGTAGACAGTACATTTCTACGTTTCTCAGACTCGGTTTTCCTTTCTTTAGAAAAAGGAAAGGAAATACTCCTGATTCTAAGGAATGTCTTCAGGATTTCAGTCTACAGTTAACACAAACGTAGTACTTTCATTTTCAGCCGTGGGTATTAAGTCCACTGTTGGAAGTTGCTGACATACATGTGAACCTTGACTTGCTTTGTTGTTTGATGCTTGATTATGCTCTTACACAAACTCATTTACTGGATTCTGTACTTGCTTCATAGTAGTTGCCCCAGAGCATTGTAATTAGTGTGGAAGTTGGCACCATAAAACCTTCAAGCTGCGTTTTTTCTTCCTCTCATCTTCTTCTGGTAATTAATTTCTGTTTCAGTATGAAAAATAACTTATGAGAAGTCTTAATTGATGAAGTTTGTAGTACTTCTATTAGTATACCCAGTTTGTGCAGTTCCTTGCTATTAATTCTTGTGGAAGCATAGAAGGCACATTAGATGGAAGTGAAGCCAATGGTCTAAGCAGATGCTCTTGGTTGTTGCTTGCTCTCATTCAAGGTGGGCACATGAAGCTGTAATCCAAAGCACATTAAACTTTTATGCTTAAGAGACATTGCACAGTATACTGGGAAATTCTTGGGTTAGTTATTTCTAAACTGATGTTTATAATTTTTCTTCTTGTTGCTCAGTCATGTTTTTTTCACACTTGTGTGAATTTTGATGTCTAAGCTGTGAGGTCTCAGGCTACCTCTCACTCTGCAGAAACAAGGCTGGGTGGAGGGGTGAGAAGCTTTCT